AAAGACCGGCGCACTGTATGCGAATAAGACTCTGCTTGCGAAGAACTGCACCTCGTTCCTTGTGACTCCATCCCATGTCTTGTTCACTACTTCTCAGCATCTCCTGAAATTCGTTCATTTGACCAGGGCAGAAGGTGAGTGCTTCCAAGACTACTTCCTGCCGCAGCATGACTAAACTTTCGGCAGATATGGAGGTCCCTCCTGATACGCCAGAGACCGATGAGCGTTGCAGAAGCATCGAGCGTAGTTCGCGCTTGGTGTCGGTAATACCTAGTGTGTTTGCCGTTGTGTTGCAGGCGCCGCGTGGAAATATTGAGACCACGTACCCCCGTGCTCTGGTCCTAGCAGGCATCAGGTCATTTATTGATCGCAAGAACTACCGCTCGGCTTTCCTTACCTGTCGCAGCCAAATGGTAGATATGAATATCATTCATGACTACGCGCCAGAACAGTTCATGGAAAGTGTCCCGTTATTCATTGACCAAGTGAAAAGGGTTGACTTCATCGACGAGTTCTTGTCCCGTCTAAGGTATGTCCGATATGTGGGTTCTCTCGTAGAGGGTTTCCTTGTTAACCATATGCAGTGGGGAGGATGTCTCAGAGACCCTGTACAAGGATACACTGAAGACACTTAAGACGGATGACAATATCGTCCCTGCCACTAAGGCCCCAGCCAAGGATGGTAAGGTTAATCGGATTTGCGATGCCTTCTTGGCTGCTTTGGAAAAGAAGATTGATACCAATCTGCACAATCTCGTCACGGCACACGTTGTCAAATCGCCACCAGACCTTGAGGCTGGTCTTCAACTGGTTGCACGCCTGAGAGGTGAGTCTAAATCCTGCCATCATACTTGATCAGCCACTCACCTTACAATAGATCAAAGCTCCGAACAAGCAGAAGACGCAGTCGAACATATGTGCTTCTTGTCCGATGCCCACCGTTTATACGATACCGCGTTGGGCCTTTACGACCTCGAGCTCACGTTGCTTGTTGCCCAGCAAGCCCAGCGTGTAAGTAACGCTAGCAAACCCGCTAAAGTATCATTCTAAAGCCATTCAGGATCCTCGAGAATACCTCCCATTCTTGCGCAAGCTACAGCAGCTGCCCGAGCTTCGACGACAGTTCGAAATTGATAATTATCTTGGACGATGGGCCAAGGCTCTGCGACATCTTCATGCGCTTAACGCTCATGACGAGCTAAGGGCGTATGCTATCAAACATGTTCTCTATAAGGATGCCATCGATCTCTACAAATACCAGCAAGAGCAACTACGCGACATGACCAATCTCCACGCCGACTACCTCTACGATCAGTCAAAATACAAAGAAGCAGCCATCGGTACGTATTTCCACACATATCTCCTTATCCCACAATACAATGTATCAGCTGCTAACCAATCCCAGCTTATGAATCCCTTTCCCTTTATTCCGACGCCTATCAATGCTACCAGCGGGCTCATCTCTGGCGTGAATCCCTGTACTGCGCAATGATGGTCCCATTATCAGAGGAAAAGCTCCAAGCGCACGCACTCGAATTAGCCACGACCCTGACAGACGAGAACAAAGACTACGTCTCCGCAGCACACGTCCATGCAGAACACCTCCACGACATCCCGCTGGCCGCCCGTCTCCTGTGCCGCGGCTCTCGCTTCGCCGACGCAACGCGCCTCCTCGCATTGCACGGCAAGCAAAGCCTCGTCCCGGAAATCGTGGACACAGGCCTGGCAGACGCCATGGGCTCCATGACCGACCTTCTTGCCGACTTCCGGTCTCAGCTGAACGCCCAAGTACCGCGTATCGGGGAGCTGCGCGTTCGCCGTGCTACTGACCCGCTGGCCTATTTCGGAGGTGACCCCACGATGGGAGGAGAGATGGGTGTCGATATCCCAGATAACGTCTCTCTTGCACCTACGGATGCTTCTACTCTTGCTGGTCGCAGCATGTTCACGAGATACACCGGAAAGACTGGGAAGACTGGCAAGACGAATATGTCGAGACAGACTTCCAAGACCCGTCGGAAGGAAGAGCGTAAGCGTGCTAGTGGTAAGAAGGGAACCGTGTACGAGGAAGAGTACCTGGTGAACAGTGTACGGCGGCTTATCGAAAGAGTCAACTCCACGGTGTCTGAGGTCGAGACTCTTGTTAATGCACTGCTCCGACGGGGCATGCGGGAGCGTGCCGTTGCTATTGAAAAGGCTATGCAGGAGGTGCTCAAGTTGTGTACTGACTCTCGAGTGGAAGTATTCGGTGCCGTCGCTCCTCCAGCAGGTGAACAGACCGACGGCCCTGAGGCCGAGACTAATGCGAATCCCGCTGAAGAGGTTTCACTCAAGGGTGGCCAGCGTGCTTTCGCGGACAGCATTACCGCTACCCTAGCTGTTCGAGAAGCACCGGCGGTCAAGGAGCTGAAGCAGTCGGCGTTGCTGAACTGAAGCCTTGACGTCGAAGGAAATGTCCGAGTACAGTCCACGAGTTTTCTTATAAAACAGGGTCTCGAAAAAGTTGGAATATTAGAATTGTTGATTAATAAAATATATATCAAGGAAAGCTATGACGATTATTATTTGTAGACCTGTGATATGTACTCTGCTTCCGACATAATTCGCGAATAGTTTAACATAGGGCATCTTCTGTGAAGCAGATTCCGCTAAGTTTATGTTTAAATTAGATATGTTTCATAACTCTGCCCGAAAACGCTAGAGTAACTGGGTTTTATATCTTCTTTCTAGTTGGAGAGAATGTCACCCGTCTCACTGACAAGGTGGTCGTTGACACTGACGGGACCCTCACCGACGCCGGTCAAGATCACACGGCTGACACCATCCCTGATCACATCGACAGCCCTTGAGTCCACTTTATCCAATGCCACACCCGGAGCGGTGAGGTTCTTGAGGGGCTCGTAGAAGGGACCCTCCCAGCCCTCGCTGCTGGCGCCCAGGATAGCCTTGACGGTACCGGCGACGAGTTCAGAATCTTTCTCAAGGTAGTAGATGACGGCGTTCGGACCAGCATCAAAAGTGTAAGCACAAACAGTACGACCGACGGCACGGTTGATATCGTGGACGAGCCTAACGGCGGCGCGGGAGACATCGTTCATGTAGAAGATTGGAGGCCAGGAGTCGAGACAGGTGGCGTGGAAGCCATTGGAGTCCCGCATAGTGATCTCTGCGAAGGCAGGGAAATCCCGGTTCTGAATGGCGGTCTCAATAGCCGCCATCCGCTCAGGTACAACAGATTCTGCGCGAGTCGCGAAGAGATTGGACGTAGCGACGGTGGTTTGCATACCCTCCGTGCTGGGGACATCCTTCTTCTCAGCGCTGACGACCAGGATCAGAGCCCGCATCTCAGGCCAGTGTGATTCAGGAGCGACCTCCTCAGCCAAGCTGTCGCTACCATCGACAAGAGTTCCGGCGCGCCAGGCCACATATCCACCCATCAGAGATCGACAGGCGGAACCAGATCCCTGGCGAGCGATGCGGCTGAGGTCACGAGGAGACTGAGGAAGCTGGTAAAGGTCCGCGACGGCACGGACGAGCGCTGCGAAACCGGCAGCGGAACTGGCGAGACCAGCAGCGGTGGGGAAGTTATTCTCGGAGACGATCCTCAGGGGGAGGGTAGACAGTTTCGGCAGAGAAGAGTCAGCAGCTTCAAGTTCCTGGCGGAGAGAACGCAGATTCGAAAGGCAAGCAAGGGTGCGCTTAGAGGACTGGATGTCCTGAGGTTTGCCGTTGAGGGTGAGCTCGTCAGCAGTTGGATACTTGGCAGAGCATGAGGCCGTGGTGAGGGTGCGCAGAGAACGCTGCGAGAGTGTTACGGAGAGGGAGGAGTTCGTAGGCAGGTTAAGAGTGGCATCTCTTTTACCCCAGTATCTTCAAAGTCATGGTAAGTATCAATGTAGCCTAGTGACAATCGTGATCCTCAGGGGTATGGACGACAAACTTGATAACAGCAATGTTGACTGGGGCTGTGGTAGTGGCCCGAAAGACCGTACTGTCAGGTGAAGCAGCCATACTTTTAGAATAGGAGGTATTAATTATCGGATAATACAGGAAGGAGAGGCACGTCGGGAGAAGAAGAGGTTGCTAAAGACGAGGGAGAGCGCTGGAGAATTGAGGGGCAACGGATTTCCCTGTTGGGAAATATCATTTATCTCAGCTCTCCACGGACACGCTATTCCCGTTCTGGTAAGGCGGGACCTGGTACACGATCTAAGTATACAGTAGTCTATATCTTAGGCGCAAGCAGTCCTACGACTGGTTCAGCTGTGTCTCTTGTGTAGCAAGAATATGTTTGACCCTGTCGCTGATTAATTGATATCTCTGACAGTTCTTCCCGTAATGAATATGAGAAGTCCTAATGGATCACTGAGTCTCAGATGTTGTGCCATGTTCTATTTGCTATGGTCGATATGACGGATGGAAAGACCGCCTTCCCGACAAAGAAGAAATGTGGAGCAAATTCAATTCCACTGTAAGGCGGTGACTATGCCAGAATTTCTCTCTCCGCCTTCCGCAAGTAAATCTTCTTCCATAGTAATCAACAACCCCGATTTGTCATCGGCATTTCTCGTCCACCCTGTCAATCAATTCCAGAAAATTAGAAAACATCCGATAATGGGATCTGGCACGAGTACTCAGGCAGCACCTGCCGCCGAGTCAGCACCAGCTGCAACATGTCCAGTGGATCACAAGACCCGTGAGATTTGGCTACAGCAACACAAGGCCTCAGGCGGTCCTCCTCATCCTTTACCTACAGAAGACGGAGAGCCAAAAGCAAAATTACAACGACCACTGTCGAGCGACCGCGAAGTGAGCAGTATCCCCAGAGCTTTCGACCAAGACTCGAAACAACCGTCTCCCCAGGCTGCCGCGGAAGCTCCATCCCCATATGCTACACCTGTATCGCACGGCACGCCCTCAAATGCGGAATCTGAAACAGGCCATGATGAGACGAGCGGGAATTGGATTTACCCTTCTGAGCGCCAATCTTCGAAGCATTGATGCGTAAAGGCAACACACCGACTTCTAGCACTTCGCCCACTGAACTAGCAACTTCCGTGGCATCCATTATCCCAATTCATAATGCCGTCAACGAGCGTGCCTGGCAACAGATCCTAGAATGGGAGAAGCAAGCACCTCGCTCTGATCCTGGCAGCAAGAAATGTGGAGGCCCGAAGCTATATTCATTCCGCGGACTGGGCGTTGACCCCCAGTTCCTCAGTCCTCGTGCTCGTATCAACAACCTAATGGGCTACCAACTACCGTTCGATCGCCATGACTGGGTTGTAGAGAGATGCGGTGGTGAGAGGGTCGAGTACGTCATTGATTTCTATCAAGGAAAGACGGCTGGAGCCAACGGTGGACCGGCCGGCTTGGCTGCTAATGCCGGACCCGGCAAATTGAGCTTCTACTTGGACGTACGGCCGAAGTTGAACACTTTTGAAGGCTGCAGGATGAGATTCAGCCGCTTCACAGGCTTGTAAAGCGACCCACCATTTACGTTCGCGATGCACATAAGGGCGATTTGGAGTTTGGTTGCATATTGGGCGATGGTCTTTGATGTATAATCTTTGTATAACACACAAGCTATGTATGATACTCTAGAAGGAATAAATCAGGATAGAAGGACGAAATGAGATACACTTCCCTCACTCTGCATGCGCCTGCTGGTCATAAGTCGAGTCACGAGAGAAAAAAAAAAAAAAAAAAAGATAGGTCGTAACAATACATAGAACTGTGTATAAGAGGATATCATGAACAAAAGTCGCCATAATGAACAGTACAAGCAAACTAGGAATGATAGGTGGAAACATTAGAGCGTAACTGAAACAATTCATCCAATAACAGCCGCCAGCACAATGATAGTTAGGATCACGGCAAGGATGACAAGCAGACAGCAAGCCTTGTTGCGGGCATTCTTTTGATGTCTGCTGGCACTGCGGAGCTCAACATTAGCTCCCCGGGTGTCGTGTGTAACATTCTCAACATTCTCGCTAATTATATCGAGCTGGCCTCCTTGCTCGTGCACGATGTGGGCGACATCGCGGAACAACTCATTGAGTTCGCCAACACTTTGCTCGATATTGCGAATCTCTGCTTCGCGCTCAATGATTAGAGATTCCTGGAAATCCACCTCATCTTGGTTCGCAAGTCGAGGGTGTTCCTGAAGTAGCTGTTGCTGTTCTTGCGTAGCTCCTTCAACCGCTGGTTGTTCACCTTCTTCCACGGCCGTGCGGGCAGCGACGGCGGATGCGCGCTGCTTCTCCAAAGCCCGGCGTTGGACAGTTTGGAACTCCTCCAGAGTAGCCTTAAACTCTGAAGATAGCTTTTGCTGTGTCCATTTTTGAGAAGGCTATCGAATGATTGTCAGTAGCGCATCACATAGAGCCTGAGCTGTATTCGCATACATTAACATCCTCCCATGCTTGCACCTTCTTGATACCTTCTCCTACTCCCTTGAACCCTGTGCGAGTCTGCTCCAGAAGATTGTGAACTCTTTCGCGGACTCGTTCCGTGTCTCGCCTTGTCCCTAGAAGTGCGATCTGGTCCGATAGCCGGGTGATGTTGGAGGTTAGGTTGAATAGCTGATTTGAAAGACTCTCGGTGAGTTGGTAGAACTCGGGGTCATCTCGATATTGTGGATCGTCGGAGCGACGTAAAGTAGTAGGCTGTGATTCTAGAGAGCTAAGACGGTCGAAAGACATGGTGGGCGATGCGATGTAGATGATGATGAATGGAATAGTGTTGGAGGATGGCCGCCGGATGGAACGTCAACATGCGGATCGCCGGGCGGTCACCTGCGTTTCTGCCGGGATTTCCAGGCTGCAACCACATGATGCGTGGCTGGTGGGTCCATCACCTGACCGACGGGTTGTGGCTAGTGTGTGTTTTGATGCTTTTCTCAAAAAGCTTCAATTTATCGTCGCATGCTGCCGTCACTGTTCGGAATTTCGGTTGCCCGTTCAGCTCATACGTCGAATTGCCGCCTGGTCTCCTAGCCCGGGCAGATAGGAATAATACTGCGCAGCAGTTCTGATCATGCTGTGAAATTCCATTCCTTCTCTACCTCAGAGATCTTGGAGCCCCCCCCAATTGAACTAGCATCATGGCTGCTATCCGGCCGCGCCCATATCGGCGCATCTTGACCTCAGCGCTGCACCGACGCTTCGTTCATGCTTCTGCTTTAGCGCTACTCGTCTGCTACTTAATCGCGTTCTTGATTGGAGATAAATCCTCCTGTAAGTAGCAGGACCCTTTTCTTACTACAAGTGGCCGATTCTTGGAAATGCTGCATTTGAACGAATTGGTAATTAACAACGTTACTTTCCACCAGTTTTATGGGCTTGGTTCCCAATTGGAGCGTGTGGAATTCGTACTGTCTTGCTCTTTATCTGCAGTCTCGTCGTTTTCGTATTGCGCGTTGGACAGATACACATTGGCTCGCGAACGACAGCCTCTCCCCTGGGCACTCTTAAGTACATTTTCCCACTCGATGTCGTCCAAACTTTTGGATGGTATATCTTCTCGGCATGGTGGTTTAGCGAGATCTATAAATGGTCATCTCCTAGTGGAGCACACTTGGAGTGGGTTAATAGAGGCCGGTATGTGCCCCCCACAGTATTCAAACTAAGGCGCCTCGTGAGCTAAAAGAAAAATAGACCCCACGAGCGCGCAAGCTTAAACGAAAGGCCGATCTACCTCTACACTTACCATCTATTACTCGCAATTGTGCAATCTGTTGTCCACCTGTATTACGATTTCGACCGTGTACCTATTCCCGTTGCTAAACGGGCTGCCGGGAATGCTGATCAGAGAACCCATCCAGTGGAGCCGGTGTCTAAGCGCATACAAATTGCATTGCCTGGGCTTATAAAAGACGGCTTCACAAGAAGTGCTGTGGTCGCCGCAGTCTGTCCTGTGGTGTATACCTTAGTCCTAAGAAGCCCGGCCTGGAGCTTCACCATGTACTGGGCGAAATTGTTCTGGGACTTCCCTCGGTCTGCTGCGGCTCCTCCAGGCCTTATTGGCCCAATTGGCCCAGGCTTGCTGCTACGCACGGTGTTCTCCGGAAGCCTCCTGGTTCTTTGCTGGCAAACCGCCAATCTTTTCTTCTCCGCGTTCCTTAGCAAGGAGCCACTCAAGCGTGGTCAGCCGTTGACGGCTGAGGCGAAAGACCCTAATGGCAGTTTATTGACGGGGCTGACCGCAAAGAAGGAGACCGTTCAATCTTTCGCATTCTGGGAGCTATGCTTCATCAGTCAAAGATTTCCTGACCGACGAAAGGCGATCTTCAATGATATTGATCGTGACGGTGGTCCAGCGTGGTCGCAGATCCTGAAATCTGCCACCGAGGTTATCAAGGGCATTTCTACTCGCATCGATGAACAGAAGAACCCGCCATCGGGTCCCAAGCCCGCACAAGCTGAACCGACCGAACCGGTTCTCCGCACTCTACCACGGTTAACAGACCCTCTCAAAGCGGACAACGTATTCGCTCCCTCCCCCAAAGCAAGCTCGCGGCAGGAAAAGATCGGGGAAGCCTTCAGCGCAACAGCCAAGTCTTATGGACAATCGGCAGATTGGACCCCTACTGCCCGAGCCAAAGCCCGCGATGTTTTCGACCGTGCATCCACTGCCATATTGAGCCCGGAGCGCAAGCAGAAACTTCTGGCTTCATCCCAAGAACTCAAAATGCTCACAGGTCCTTCAACCTGCAAGCCAGAAAACCTTAACCCATTCATCGCACAACTCCTCCGCTCTCCAGTAGGCCTCCTCTTCCGACAAACGTACGACCGCCGCCTGTCAGGTATTGTCCTGGGCGCGCCACACGCAAACTTATGTCCCATCGTCGACGCCATCGAGTCGCTCACCCGCCTCCTCATTGCAAGTCTGCAGGAGGACCAATACGGCAAAGTCCAAACCGATGTGCCCGACGTCGTACGCCTCTTCACGAACACCATCATGACCCTGGAGCCCTTTATCCACGGCGGTCTCGACGCCCACTGGACAGACGTCAACTTCCCACCATCAAGTAAACCCGAAGCACAAGCAGAGGCCCGTCGAGTCCCAGATGTGGATCTCGTACTCGACACCCTCAAGAGCTCCCTCAAGGACCTTCTATCTGCATTCAACCTCTACCTCAAAGACATCGGACTCGTAGGCAAGGACCTACGACTGGCAAAGGAAGCAGCCGGGTTAATCGAGGAAGGACTCTAAACTTTGAAACAGGCGTCATGAGAGTCTACCGGGGATGGATTCTGGTTTGCTTTATGAAATTACCCGGTGTAGACGGTCGGTGTATTTATACTTCGCCCATTGTCTTAATGAACATTGGCTTTTGGTCGTTGTATGTTCTGGTTCTACTTTGTGCGGTGGAAAAAAGTTACGACTTAGATTAGTTCCCATGCATTGTTCTGGCGTTGCGATGCATTGAATTCAATGGGTTTGACTTTTTTTTTCTTTTTGTTTATTATTGGCTATTCATTGCCTGCTCAGACCGTCGCTCTATTTTAGTATGTCGAGTTTTTGTATATCCTTTTTCTTTTAGCCATATACAGAATTCTATTTACAGAGGTACCAAGCACCCGGTACAAAGTCCACAAGTGCCACATCATAACGACCATAAACAGGTGAGAAGAGGAGGCAAAAAAGGGATGAAGAGAAGCAGAGATGAAGAAAGAAAACAACCCATGTGCAATAAAAGACCCAGACACAACCTCCCAAGTCAATTTCTCCAAGACTCCATGTCCCGCCATCGCCAAAAGTTGGCTGAATGAAAACGATAGTATGAAGGAAAAGCAAGTATATCATGCCACATCATGATGACAGTTCTCCCTTTCCATGCTAGATTGCCCTCCGATGCTTTATAAATCAACCATAATCCCGCTCTGTACCATGACCTATTTGTCCCAGATGAAAAGTTTTTGTTGAATGCAGAAGCTGAGTGCATATGATGCATGAAAAAAGATGCACTAGAAAAAATTGCACCCCGCCTACTCTGAGTAGCAGTAAACGGGCAGGATTCGGTAAAATGTGATCCTGACGACGAAAAGTGGGTATTTTAACCTTAGAAAAGGAAGATAAAGGCAAAGAAGAATGCATCGACGTGCCCTGGAAACACAAATTCGCAGTCGTCTACAGCGCGTCAGAGCATTGTAACTCCACAGAAATCCTGGTCCAGTTGTAAGCAGCGGCGCAATGGTTGTCAGCAGCCACTGAGGACCTCGTTTATCTTATTTGACGTAAGTGTCGCAGTTGTTCCTATCGCAGGGCCTGGTCCGCCGTTGCTAGTGGCGTTTCTGGGTTCAGGAGGCGCTTCCTCTTTCATACAGGCATTCTCCAGAATGTTAGTCCACTTTCCACTGGTTCCAGCATGACTGTGCTTCAAGTGTTGTCTAAAGTGGTCCGCGCGATAGAATTTCTTTGCGTTATTGCACTCCCCAAATTTATGCACTGTCGTCAAATGCTCGACCTGCGGTCCCAGTCAGGTTGAGGAAAATTAGGGAATTCTTCACCACAATAACCACATGTGTCGTGTGAGGGGCCTGTATTCGTTTGGCTTGAAGGAGAAGACGAAGGATGGAACGCAGCCTGGTATCCTGGTAGGGCAGCGCATGACCAAGAATGGCGCCGCAAGTGGAGCGAGTTTTGGTGGCGCTCAGCTTCATTTTTGTTTTTGAACCGATTGTTACAAAATAAGCAAGAATACTGTTTCTCCATCTCGTGTGCGCTATTGACGGGCTATAGGTTAGAAAATGTCCAGTCACCGTTGAAATTAATTGACTCGATTGAGACTTACCGAAGTTCCTCGGGACTGTCAAACTTCTTGGGTTTCTTGGGACAGCAGTCGCAAATGAACAAACCACCCATCTTGGGACCTGCTTGTTTTGGTACGTTCAAACTCGTCTGCAAAGACATCTTCCTTGCGACATTTGAGTTGGGTGGTTCTAGCGTAGTAGGCCCCGGAACACCTCTCATTGCCGATTGGTTTGAAACTCCGCCAGGAGAGGTAGGATTGAGATGAAACTTGTCGTGGAATGATTCGAGGTCGGAATTTGGAGAGAGCCCCCCGGGCGACCGCTCATACACTGACGCGCTTGTAACGCTGCTTGAAAGAGCTGCTGACGAGTAGGACCCAGAGGTTCGAAGGCTCAAAGATGACGCAGCTGAGATACTCCCATGGCTCTGGGCATAAGCGCTATTGACAGATAACGTATTCGTGAACGGATGGCCAGATGTCCTTCGCTGCGAAAGATCACCATTACTTGTCGTTACATGTATCGTGTGCCTATCATCGCTAATTGGTTCTCTAGGGGGAGAAGATGCTCGTCTTTTCATGCCGGACTTGGATGTGTCCAGGTATGGCGGTGTTGCTTCACGAACATTAAATAAACGGGGTGGTAATGATTCATCCGTCGAGAAATCCCCTTCGATGTCTGAGAATATACCTTGATCATAGCTTCCCCGGTTCGATCGACTCGGGAGACTGAGCGAGTCTTCGTTTTGCGGCGTGGCTCCACCTCCCCGACGGCGGATATAGTTGGGATTATCGTAGTCTACCGCAGAAGAAGGCGCACTGCTCTCAACACTTGGGCTCCGGCAACCAATATAGTCTCTCCAGCCCACTTTAGTCCCAGGTGATATCCCACCTGACTGAGAACCAATGGACCACCTCACGTCGAGCGTAGAGCCATCAGAGCCACCAGGTGAGGGCAAGCTTCCATAATTTCTCGAAGGTAAGGGAAGTGTTGATAGAGGGCCTCTATTCTCAGAACCCATACTCAGAGACTGTCGGGGAGAGAGCGGCTTCCCTATTTTAGACAGAAGATGCTGGTCATATGCATCAGACGAGTCCTTCACGCTCCGTCGAGAGAAGTCCTGCTCGCCTTTCAAACTATCCTTTGACGTTAGTGATGCCAGCCCAGGTGAAGGAGTTATAGTGAAACACTCAATGAAAGAATGGCGGTTTAAGAAAGCGCAAAATCAGGAAGCGTACTTACATAGGGCTGGTGTTTATAGGAATTGAATTTCGAAACCCGTCATCCGCTGGAGGTGGAGGCTCAATCCGTATGTGAGCCTCCGGACTTCTTGATAGAGGCAAGCCGCTGTGTCTGCCATCCAAATCGTCTAGCGCCATCGATCGGATTGAGGCCCGGGTTCTAAACGGCGGTGCCCCCCAAATAGACTCGAATTCGGATTGATGGGGGCGAGCTTTGCACTGGGACCCTTAGAATTCGCATGCACCCAGCCAGCATCGTAACCGTCTTCTAGGTCTCTGATGCGCGGCGGCGGTGGAAGTGGCGGCGGAGCAAATGTGTTCATTGAGCTGGCGGGAATTGGCATAGGCCCTGGCAAAGAGTATGATTGTCCAGGCATAGCATATGAGGATCGTTCAGTAGCGCTGTGATAAGAACCACTAGTGAAATCATGTACATTTATCGAGGGTGGCGAGATTCGCGGCAAGTCCATCGTACGGCCCAATTGCTCATCAATTCAAGATTGAAAGGAGAGACGAGTTAGACAACAAAACGCAAACCCTCACCCAAATCGTGGGTGATATATAAGGGGCACGACGTTCACTGCCAACTGAATGCGATTTGCGGAAGATCAATAACTAAATAGATGATACACAGCCCCGCTCAAGGCCTCAAGAAGATCCTGCTTCTAGAGCTGGCGCAAAAGCTGCAGAAGTGCTAACAAAATTGGAGAAGGCAAAAGAAGTGCAAGAGTCACTCTGCAGTAGGAAGACTGCGGACTTGGTGGCAATAGTCGTTAGGGTCTGCTAAGCGGTAGCTGGTAAGTGGTCGGGGAACTTTTGACGAGAGCAAGGATAGGGCTGAGTAGGTAGTAACCCACCTCCTTGGAGTCCGTCGAGTTGCGTTTGACAGGATTTAATTTAATTTCCAGGTGGCCAAATCAGTCGTTCACTGTTCCAGCGGCTTTCCGCAACAGTCGCGCACCAGTTTGCGAAACCAGTCGTGTGCCATCAATTCGCCGGAGAGCGGCAATTTAGTGAGGGAGGACGGCGCAAGGACCACAAGACATAGTGAAGACTTGTTCGGAGGGGGTTTAGGGTGTTTTTAAGTAGCCGCTGATATATTCGGGAGAAAGTTGCAGCGGAGGACAAGCGGTTATGCAATGTATGCCCTCGAGAAAAGGGAAAAGGGAGGGTAAATGTTAGACAAGATGCAGGGAATCGGTTGTTTCCCCACGATCAACCCTCTTCTAGAATCCGGGTCACGGAACGGTAAGTTTGGAGGGGATGGAGAATCTCAGACGAGAACAAAAACGGTCGCAGAGCACGTGTTGGTTTTTGTACAATCCAACAAGGAAGGGAAGGAAGGGAAAGTGAAGGTAAAGTCAAGCGACAGAAGGACCAGTCAAGGCGACGGCGGGCCTGAGGCAGACAAGGAAGTGCCTCAGGTTAAGTCAAGTTGTATAAGGTGAGGCAGAAGGCCTGGTCTGGGTGGACAGGTAAGAAAGTTGGAACAGGATGGTGGTGCTAACCACCGTCTTATTGGTCCCTACAAGGCTTTTTGGGCGGGAAAAAAACGTCTGTAATTTGAAGATGAATTTTGCCTCTTGAACTTCCGGACCGTCTCACTAGGACGGTTTCTCTTTTTTTATTTTATTTTTTTTTCCTCTTTTTCTCTTTTGTCTTTTTAGATTTCTTTGTCAGCTATGTGAGCATCGACGAATTTCAAAATCTCGCGCCAATGAATAGAAGAAATACGGGGTAGTCGTCGTAATAAAACTTTTTAAGGGAAAAAGAAAAAGATCGTATGTATGGAAGGCAGAGATTAGAAGGACAAGACCTAGAAACCTAGATAATAATACCCAAACTTCCATTATTCACAATGATACAAAACGTTGGTATTTGTGTCTCCGCTTTTACTGCAGTTTGGTCATAGTGGACCCCGAAGAAGTTAGACTGACCAACTAGATGGCGTCCTTTTTCTTCGATATGACTGCGGTAATAAACCAGGGGGGGAATATTGTAAAAGAAAATATACTTACACAGTTGGAAAGGAAAAGACCCGAGGCGTAAGAATGGTCTTAAGGCTAGCCAGGGGACCCGTGAGTATAATTCTCTTGAATTCTGAATTCTTTTTTCTTTGAGGGGGGAAAGAGAAACCAGAAAACCACGAAATTCGTTCCTCCCCCCTTAGGGAACACCTTGCATTTGCTTTGCTGGTTAAACTTTTGGGTCGCTTGTCAGACTGTTGCAGTACCACAAATTGTAAAAAATACTCCAAAAATACCACGTATGAGCACCGAGGCAGTACTCAGCAAGGTAAAACCGTACGAAATGTAAGGAAGGTATGAATACTTCCATAGAGAATCCGGGTTTCATGGCAAGGTTACTTCGTATGGTACTTGTCCTCGGCCCTGGGAACAAAAAGATTAACCTCATGGCTGGACTCAAGAACCACATCGTTTCAAAATACGCGCGGGATGGCAGGGCTGGTGGATGGCCACGTTTAATGGGATCGACCAAGAACTACTAAATCATATTTAATATCACTCAATATGTCACTGGGACTGTAGTTACTTTCCCCTTTCAGTAAGGCATCTTATTGATTGTTCCTGCCATGAAAGTTTAACTGGTATTTCAGAGCCTTGAGACGAGACTACCACAAGACGATACAGCGAGGATGTCCCCTCAAGGCAAACTGTCTCATGTTTGCCTGTCTGGGAGAGAGAGAAAAAGGGGGAGAGGAGCAAGGAAGAAGGGGGTTTGTAGTTGTCTTTTTTTTTTTCAAGATAGTAAACCGTCATCAGCCATGGCCAAGAAGGAAACGCAAAGTTGATCATATGTTTACTTTTTAAGGTCTGTCTTAGCAGAACTCTAAGTCAGGCCCTTTGATATCATTCTTTGGCCCATGTTCACCCCGTCAGGAGGCATACAACAGCACCTCGTTCCAATAATAACCCCCATGGCTTTGAAGTGAGTCAGGAAATGATTTATTAATTTTGATTACTGTGGACTGGAGGAATGTTTAAAATTTTTTAATTTTTTATTTTATTTTTCAATTTCAGAGCGGTGAGCACGGACTAGCGTGGAAGGACTACTGGGGACGGATGCTTTGGAATGAGGCAGTGCTGGCAGATTCTTGCCATTATCATTCGCTATTATTTTACTTTTCATGATTTGTGGTCAATTGGAATCAACCCATACCCGCCGTTACCACTGACAATGTCGCTTCGAACGTTCTGTCCCCATTCGATTCTCACACGCCATTGGATTCTCCCGATGCCTGCCGCTGGACTAGAAACATGCTTTTGGCCTTGGGATGGGGACTCAAAAAACAAGGTTTCTACACCCGCTTACCAAAAATGTTTGATATTCAAAGGTTGCAGGGTGCCCGGTTACCCTTCCCAGGGTCAATTTTTTCGTTAAGTTCGGTGCCTGGGCAGATGGGGACTCGTTGATCTGACAAAAGAATGAACATTGCAATCGAGACTCGTAAGGCTTCACCAGAAGACAACTAGAAAGCGGGTCATCCTGAGACCTTTCCCCCTTCTGGAAGGACCAATGTATCGTCGATATTAAAATGTTTGAACATGAAAGTATAGCCCTTCAGGTTGACCTACCGACACGGGGATTTCCCCCGTGCAACTTGAATTCTTCTACCGGTATACAGTGTACTACGTATTCCCTTGCTATTCTTTCCTCCCTTCAAAATGATTTTTACTTGTCATCTATATATATAAAGGAAAGAGAAATGGAAGAACAGACAAACTATGTCTTGATTCTCAACAAATCAGTTTCCAAATTTACCATGTTCCAAGGAATACAGGAATTAATTACCTGTGAAATTCCAGAAGAACCTAATAGTAAAGGCCCCGACCACAGTCATCTCTGTCCAGGGTACCGAGTGCATACATGCACCCAACTACTCCATACACTATAGACCCACTGTGAAGTGTGCCGGCGAATGTCAGCCAACAACTAGTGGCCTTGTCGAGCTTGACCCGCCGCCAATGTGGTCTAGTGGGATCCACTATGTCCTTAGATACATGCACTGCCACAGTGCTGTCATTTGGCATTTTCCGTCGCACCCCGAGGACGCCGTCCCTGGAATTGGATGGATAACACGCTTAAATTATCGTAGTATAGGGAGAAAAATGAGGGGTTGACGGTCTGAGAAATTTCCTTAAACCTAAAGAAAAAGGGGTAGTCGAACAAGAATAGCAGTACTCAAGACCTTGGCCGTGGGAAAGTAGGGATATCGGAGGTTTTCTACGGATATGATATCCCAACTCTATAACGCACTGGGGTCCTGCGGTGAAGAACTGGAATAAATAGCCGGTATCACATAGGAATTATTAGAAAGGTATTATTAAA